GGAATGCGCGTGCACACTCACACGCTGTACAACACACACTCACTGTAATACAAAGATAAATATCAACGTGTAACCTTTAACAGACTGTTGAAGCGAGGGCTGTTAGCGAGCAGCACCTATCAAGGCTGGCACAGCACACGAGGGCGCCGTGTGGCCAGGGCCACGCCAGGCCGCCTTTGTCTCCCCAGTGACGATGTTTCCACACCGCACCGCACCAGGGACTCATTTATTAAGGGTCGACCTCGAGGAGGGCCAAGACCAGTTCAAATAATCGCCGTCATTGCTCGTGAGCGGGAATCGAACACGGGCCGCCGAGTCCGGAGCGCAGTGGAGCGCTCCCCGCGCGGCGCCGCCGCTCCCCGCGCTCCCCGCATGGAGACGCACGAGGCGGAGACGCCGCTTGCACCCAGAGGCAGTGCGCCAGCAGCAACAGCAGCGGTGCAGCAGCAGCAGTAGCAGCAGTAGCAGCAGCAGCAGCAGTGCAGCAGTAGCAGCAGTAGCAGCAGTAGCAGCAGCAGCAGTAGCAGCAGTAGCAGCAGCAGTAGCAGCAGTGCAGCAGCTGTGCAGCAGCAGCAGTAGCAGCAGCAGTAGCAGCAGCAGCAGTGCAGCAGCAGTGCTGCAGGCAAGCGAGCCTGACTGCTGATGAGACACTCGAGTGTGGAAACCGGTCCTCATTGTGCTTGTTTCAAACCAACGTGGCCGAGGGGATGCGGACACTCACACCACAACCGCAGCACGTGTACGTGGAGACAGCCACGGGGCGTATGGTCTCAAGTTTATATCGTCGGGTTAGCGCCTGGGGGCACACACGAGGAGGAATGTTATTGTTGATGTTTATGTTGTTCAGATCAACGGCAAGTGGCGGGGCGATGGCGGGGGAGATGGGGGGGGCAATGGGGGGGGGGGGGCGATGGGGGGGCGATGGGGGGGGGCTGACTTCTATAACAAAACGCGAGGACAGATGGACGCGCTCAGCCATGGACAGAGAAGATCTGAACAGAGACCGGGCGGGGGGGGGAGGGGGGGGAATCAGCGCGGACGAGGATGAAGGGAGGGAGTTGACCATCGGGGCAGAAGCAGACAAGGAGTGACCACCCGCTGAATGGAAGTTGGTCGGGCGGCGGTAGTTGGAGCTTGCTGGAGCGGCGGCCGCGTGGGTTGCTGTGTGCAGGACGACGCGCGCGGCGGTGGCCGTGGTGGTGCGCAGACAGCGCGTGCGCCCCGTGAATGTGTTCACTTCCGCGCCGCTTTTAAACGGAGAGATGCCATGCGGACCGCACACGTGCACACACACAAGGATCCCCCGTGTAGTCTTAACAGACTGTAGGGGCACGTGCTGTTAGCGAGCACCTATGAAGGCCGAACTGTACACGAGGGGGTCGGTGGCCCGCACCACGCCCGACCGCCTTTGTCTCCCCGGTGGCGATGTTTACACATCGCACCAGATACTCATTTGAGTCGGGGAGGCCCAGGACCGGTTGAGATTATCGTCACTGGTGTTGGTCGTGAGCGGGAATCAATCCCGGGTCACCGGGTCTATAGCGCAGCGCGATAACCGCTACACTATAGCACACGCGCGTGTTCATCGTCTGGCCTGTACCGTGTGAGTACTTATAACCGCGTGCAAGTCTATTCACATCTCACATACACGCACAGAGACCCGCATCGCGACTCGTGTAGAGCACAGCGGTGTTGTCGAAGCGCTCGGCGAGGTGCCGTTCTCGTGCAGAGGGCGACGCAGAGGAAGCACAAACGAGCCGGAGGGCGGCAGCGGCGCTACCTGCAATTGCCGAAGCTCTGCGGTCCTCTGTATATGAATATGTTATTGGTCAATTGATGAGTATTGAATGGAAATAGATAGTTCACTGTATGCATGAACGAGACAATTGGCATAAAACATCGTCGTTCGAGAATCTGGGCCCCAGCAATCATGGCGCGGGGTGGTCCGATTGGTTAGACTGTCAAGGGCGCGTGAGTGCGTGGACTCTCCCTGAGGTGTGTGTGTTGTGTGTGTGTTGTGTGTGTGTTGTGTGTGTGGTGTGTGTGTGTTGTGTGTGTGTAGTGTGTGTGTGTGTTGTGTGTGTGTGTTGTGTGTGTGTTGTGTGTGTGTTGTGTGTGTTGTGTGTGTGTTGTGTGTGTTGTGTGTGTGTGTGTTGTGTGTGTGTTGTGTGTGTGTGTTGTGTGTGTGTGTTGTGTGTGTGTTGTGTGTGTGTGTTGTGTGTGTGTGGTGGGGCAATAGCGGTTTGCGCACTGCACCACGAACCCGGCGTCTGTGTTCAATTCCCGCTCACGGCCACAAACGCCAGTGACGGATATCTCAACCGTTCTTGGGCCTCTCCCCTAGGTCGACCCGGCCTCAAATGAGTACCTGGTACAATGTGTAAATATTGCCACTCGGGAGACAAAGGCGGCCGGGCGTGGTGCTGGCCACCCACCCCCTCGTGCGCCATGCCGGCCTTCATAGGTGCGACTCGCTAACAGCACTTGCCCCAATAGTCAGTTAAGGCTATATGGGGGGTCTTTATAAAACACGCACACGTGTGTGTGCACCCTCACAAATTCCATGATGTGTAGTTGATGTGCATGGCGTGTGTGTCTTTCAATGTGTACACGCGTAAGGATACACGCGACGCACTGTCGCACTATATAGGTGTGCGTGTGTGTACATGGATCTTCAGTAGATGAATGCTGTCCTCTAAACACGTGCTGTGTGTGTACGCAAGTACGAGTGTCAGTGTGTGCACGAGGTGGCGGTGGTGCAGCGGTTAGCGCACCGCGCCACGGCTAACATCAACGGCGGCGAGGGTGACACGATCCACTCCGCGTTTTGTGCTGTGCTTACTCCTCTCTCGTTGGATCTGTGCCATTGTGTGCGCATCGTCGTCGTCATCACTCTGATCGATCCACTGCTGGATGAAGGCCTCCTCCCCATCCTCTCGCCGGCCCTCATGCTCCTGCGATGCGACAATCGCGTGGATGTCTCTCCGGGGCCTCCGGGTTTCTCTCCACATTTAAAAACATGCGTTTAGATTATTTAACTCCTAAAAAATTCCACGCGATAAGCCACTTCGTTGAGCTATAATTTGTGACCAAATCGCTTCAGAAAAACAGCTGTATAGCTCAGTGGGCCTTACGTGGTAAAATATAAAATCATTTTCAGTTCAAATCCCGCACGCTAGCCGCGCTCCAAATCCGCGGCGGTGATCGTCCGCTCGTGGTCGTCACTGAGCCGGCCTCGGGCCGCGTTCAATCGTCTGGCTGCCATTCCTTCACCAGTCTCACCCGTCTCACGGTGGCCATTCCTCGTCCGCTTACCTCCGAACAGTCCACGTGATGTCGATCGTGTGCGCCTGTTCTCTGATCGTCGTGTTCCTCTCTCTGTGTCTCAGTCTAAATCGCACGCTCCCACTCTCTCGCCGTGCTCCAGTTTTCTCTCTGTGCGAGCCCACGTCTCTGATCCACGCGTCTCAGCACGGGTCGAAGTGTTGCTTCTCAAATCAAATCCAGTTTTGCAAAAGCGCTCCTCCACCCGAGCTCTTGAGCGCCTCTTTATTACGTCATCAGTTTGACCCCCTGGCCACCGTCAGTAATTGCCTCAGCTGCACCACCCACTCCAGTGGTGGCCCTCCATGATGGGCACGCGTCTCGCCGCGACTCGGCAACGGATCGAGGTGAAGGAACCGACGGCAATCGGACGTTGTCGAGATCCTGGTTGGGAGTTGACTCCCCATCATCATCATTGCTTCCGTGTCGATAAAATTAGTACCACTTTGTGGGGGAAGTCAACTGCGCTTGTCCTGTGGATATACTCCTCGTATGTGTGTGTGTGACAAAAGGCGTGTGCGTATAGATTGGTGGGGACAGTGGTGTTAGCGAGCACCTGTTAAGGCCGGCATGGCGCACGATAACGTGGTGTGTTTGTGTAAATCTGTCTGTCTGTGCGTGGGGATATGTGTGCGTCTATGTGTGTATCTGTACAAGTACGTGTGCACGTGCATACTTGTGTTTGCATGCACATGTGATGAAGCTGATCGGCAGTGTCGCGGTTCGCGCACCACGCTACGAACCCCGAGACCCGAGTTCGATTGCCGCTCACGACCAACATAAGTGGCAAATATCTATGTAAATCGGTCCTGAGCCTCCCCTCCGTCGACAAGGTGTATACACATCTGCATTGGGGACACAAAGGCGGCTGGGTGTGGTTCTGGCCTTCATAGGTATTCCCAAACAGAAGTTGCTATAACAGTGGCTCCGTCTGTGATGGGGGATCTTCGGCTTTGTTCTTGTTTCCGCGCCTGTGAGAGAGAGAAGAGCATGCCTCGCCAAACGGTGCTCGCCAACAGGAGCTCGCTAACAGGCGCTAGGAGCTCGCTAACAGGAGCTCGCTAACAGGAGGTCGCTAACAGGGCTCGCTAACAGGAGGTCGCTAACAGGAGGTCGCTAACAGGAGCTCGCTAACAGGAGGTCGCCAACAGGTGCTCGCTAACAGGAGCTCGCTAACAGGGCTCGCTCACGACGTCAATGACCCCCCCGCCCCGTCCCCCTTGTTAATGGACGGCGTCGCGCCCACCCCGATTGCCGCTCGCTGCTCGTGCCTGCCGCCTGCACCCCCCTCCCCCTGGTCGCCTTCGCCTTGGTGACGGGCATCCTGTCCTGCCACCCCCCCCCCCCCTCTGTCCCTGCTCGTTGCTGCCCCTCTCGTGTCTTCACTGGGCGCAGTCGACCCTCACCTGGCGATGCCATCCCTCCCGTGACCCCCTCTCCTCCACCGGTTGTGACCCCTCCTCCCGTGACCCCCTCTCCTCCACCGGTTGTGACCCCTCCTCCCATGACCCCCTCTCCTCCACCGGTTGTGACCCCTCCTCCCGTGACCCCCTCTCCTCCACCGGTTGTGACCCCTCCTCCCGTGACCCCCTCTCCTCCACCGGTTGTGACCCCTCCTCCCGTGACCCCTCTCCTCCACCGGTTGTGACCCCTCCTCCCGTGTCCCCTCCGGGCAGGTCTGGTTCCAGAACCGCCGCGCCAAGTGGAAGAAGCGCAAGAAGACGACCAACGTGTTCCGCACCCCGGGCGCGCTGCTGCCGCCCGCGGGCCTGCCGCAGTTCCCTCCCTCCATGGCCGACTCGCTGTGCTCCTTCCACGCGGGGGACGCGCGCTGGGGCGCCGCCATGTCCGGCGTCTCGTCGCTGCCGCTGCCGCCGTCTCTGGGCCGCCAGCCCCAGATGGGGCAATCCCTGTCGCAGTGCAGTCTGGGCGGGGGCCCCAACCACATGGGGCTGTCGAACGGCGGCGGGCTGCAGTCGCACCTGTACCAGCCCTCGTTCCCCGGGATGGTCTCCACGTCGCTGTCGGGGCCGCCGCAAGTGGTGAGCACCGTCCCCACGGGCTCCCCGCAGCTCTGCGGCTCTCCCGAGGTCGGGGACATGTGGCGGGGCACGAGCATCGCCTCCTTGCGCCGCAAGGCCCTGGAGCACACGGTCTCCATGAGCTTCGCCTAGCAGAAGGGGGGGGGGGGTAGGGGACGGGGGGTAAGGGGTGGGAGGGTAAGAAACTGGGGGTGGGGGGGGGGCATTGGGGGATCTGTGCCGGACCCCAGGGGACCGCGTTGGGGCCAGGTAGGAAGGAGTCGGACCTCGTCCGGTTCGGAGCCAGGTGGGTCGCCTCGGCCCCCATGGGCTCCAGCCGCCTCTGACCGACTGACGGGGCCCGGGGGGTTCCGTGGCGCCGGCGCGAGGGGAGCGCTGGTCCTCCTGGCACACGAGGAGGGGTCCCTGTGGCGTCTCCGTGGATGGCGTCCTTCAGGGATCTCTGTGGGTCTCGATGGTTTCTCTACAGGTCTCCATGGCGTCTTTACGGGGGTTCTGTAGGTCTCCATGGGCCCTGGTGTGCCCTCCGCAGGGTCTCTATCGAGGTCCGGCGGAGTCCATTCTGGGTCCCGACGAGTCTCTGTGGGATCTCTATGAGGTGTCTGTCTGTGGGATCTCTATGGGGTGTCTGTCTGTGGGATCTCTATGGGGTGTCTGTCTGTGGGGTCCCGGTGGGGTCCCGGTGGGATCTCTATGGGGTCCCGACGGACTCTCTGTGGAGTCTTTATGGGGTCTCAGTGGAGTCTTTATGGGGTCCCGGTGGGGTCCGAACGGGGTCCCGCTGGGGTCTGCAGGGGTCTCAGTGGGGTCTGCAGGGGTCTCAGTGGGGTCTGCAGGGGTCTCGGGGGAGCGCCCTTTGTACATATGCGGCCGCGCGCCGCCCGTGCTCGTGAGTGTCTGTACCCCGTGTCCATCCCGTGTCGTGTTTTGCTCTTTCACCGTCCCGTGCTTGACCGTATGAAACTACAGTATATAGGCCTACATTATATATATACAGTCTATATGACCCCGAGAGGGCGAGGGGTCACGGAGCGACGCGGGGTCTCTCGATGGGCGCGCGACGGCTCCTCGTCCCCCGCCACCCGCGAGACGTCGAACGAGGAGGCACCTGGTGGCTGACTGGAGGGGTTTGTTCACGAACGCGTTCATCGGTTGATTGATTTAGCGACTCCGCTGTTCGTTTTGTACCCGGAGCCGCGGGGCCGCGCTTTGAATTAAAGTGACCGAACGAGTCCGTGTCCGTGTCCATCCGCGTCGCGACACAAAAACAATGTCACACAGTGACACACCAGCAGTGACACACCAGCAGTGATACACCAGCAGTGACACACCAGCAGTGTCACACCAGCAGTGATACACCAGCAGTGACACACCAGCAGTGACACACCAGCAGTGATACACCAGCAGTGACACACCAGCAGTGTCACACCAGCAGTGATACACCAGCAGTGACACACCAACAGTGTCACACCAGCAGTGACACACCAGCAGTGTCACACCAGCAGTGATACACCAGCAGTGACACAGAGTGACACATCAGCAGTGACACACCAACAGTGTCACACCAGCAGTGACACACCAGCAGTGTCACACCAGCAGTGACACACCAGCAGTGACACACCAGCAGTGACACACCAGCAATGTCACCCCAACAGTGTCACACCAGCAGTGACACACCAGCAGTGATACACCAACAGTGTCACACCAGCAGTGACACACCAGCAGTGACACACCAGCAGTGACACACCAGCAGTGTCACCCCAACAGTGTCACACCAGCAGTGACACACCAGCAGTGTCACACCAGCAGTGACACACCAGCAGTGACACACCAGCAGTGTCACACCAGCAGTGATACACCAGCAGTGATACACCAACAGTGTCACACCAGCAGTGACACACCAGCAGTGACACACCAGCAGTGTCACACCAGCAGTGTCACACCAGCAGTGTCACACCAGCAGTGACACACCAACAGTGTCACAACAACAGTGTCACACCAGCAGTGACACACCAGCAGTGTCACACCAGCAGTGTCACACCAGCAGTGCCACACCAGCAGTGACACACCAGCAATGTCACACCAGCAGTGATACACCAACAGTGTCACACCAGCAGTGACACACCAGCAGTGACACACCAGCAGTGTCACACCAGCAGTGACACACCAGCAGTGACACACCAGCAGTGTCACACCAGCAGTGACACACCAGCAGTGTCACACCAGCAGTGTCACACCAGCACACATGGTGTCACACACTTGGTGTGTCACACACAATGTCGTTTGTCTGCAGAACAGGCGTCACCCGTCCCGATGAATGTGTCACTGGGTGTGTCACTTTGTATCCCTGTGTTGTTATTGCGTACAGTGCTATGATGCTAGTGTGTGTATTACTGTTTAGTATTGTGTTTATAATTGTGTATATTACTGTTTACTGTATATTACTGTGTTTATAATTGTGTATATTACTGTGTGTATCATTGTGTATATTACTGTGTGTATCATTGTGTATATTACTGTGTGTATCATTGTGTATATTACTGTGTGTATCATTGTGTATATTACTGTGTTTATTACTGTGTATATTACTGTGTGTATCATTGTGTATATTACTGTGTGTATTACTGTGTATTACTGTGTGTATCATTGTGTATATTACTGTTTGTATCATTGTGTATATTACTGTGTGTATCATTGTGTATATTACTGTGTGTATCATTGTGTATATTACTGTGTGTATTACTGTGTATTGCTGTGTGTATCATTGTGTATATTACGGTGTGTATCATTGTGTATATTACTGTGTGTATTACTGTGTATTGCTGTGTGTATCATTGTGTATATTACTGTGTGTATCATTGTGTATATTACTGTGTGTATCATATATATTACTGTGTGTATCATTGTGTGTGTTACTGTGTGTATCATTGTGTGTATTACTGTGTGTATCATTGTGTATATTACTGTGTGTATCATTGTGTGTGTTACTGTGTGTATCATTGTGTATATTACTGTGTGTATCATTGTGTATATTACTGTGTGTATCATTGTGTGTATTACTGTGTGTATCATTGTGTATATTACTGTGTGTATCATTGTGTATATTACTGTGTGTATCATTGTGTATATTACTGTGTGTATCATTGTGTGTATTACTGTGTGTATCATTGTGTATATTACTGTGTGTATCATTGTGTATATTACTGTGTGTATCATTGTGTATATTACTGTGTGTATCATTGTGTGTATTACTGTGTGCATCATTGTGTGTGTTACTGTGTGTATCATTGTGTATATTACTGTGTGTATCATTGTGTATATTACTGTGTATATTACTGTGTGTATCATTGTGTGTGTTACTGTGTATATCATTGTGTGTATTACTGTGTGTATCATTGTGTATATTACTGTGTGTATCATTGTGTATATTACTGTGTATATTACAGTGTGTATTACTGTGTGTATCATTGTGTATATTACGTGTGTATCATTGTGTATTTTACTGTGTGTATCATTGTGTGTATTACTGTGTGTATCATTACGTATATTACTGTGTGTATCATTGTGTATATTACTGTGTATATTACAGTGTGTATTACTGTGTTTATTTTTGTGTGTATTACTGTGTGTATCATTGTGTATATTACTGTGTGTATCATTGTGTATATTACTGTGTGTATTACTGTGTATTACTGTGTGTATCATTGTGTATATTACTGTGTGTCATTGTGTATATTACTGTGTGTATCATTGTGTATATTACTGTGTGTATCATTGTGTATATTACTGTGTGTATCATTGTGTATATTACTGTGTATATTACTGTGTATATTACTGTGTGTATCATTGTGTATATTACTGTGTGTATCATTGTGTATATTATTGTGTGTATCATTGTGTATATTACTGTGTGTATCATTGTGTATATTACTGTGTGTATCATTGTGTATATTACTGTGTGTATCATTGTGTATATTACTGTGTGTATCATTGTGTATATTACTGTGTGTATCATTGTGTATATTACTGTGTGTATCATTGTGTATATTACTGTGTGTATCGTTGTGTGTGTTACTGTGTGTATCATTGTGTATATTACTGTGTGTATCATTGTGTATATTACTGTGTGTATCATTGTGTATATTACTGTGTGTATCATTGTGTATATTACTATGTATATTACTGTGTGTATTACTGTGTGTATCATTGTGTATATTACTGTGTGTGTTACTGTGTGTATTACTGTGTATTACTGTGTGTATCATTGTGTGTATTACTGTGTGTATTATTGTGTATTACTGTGTGTATTATTGTGTATTACTGTGTGTATCATTGTGTGTGTTACTGTGTGTATTACTGTGTATTACTGTGTGTATCATTGTGTGTGTTACTGTGTGTATTACTGTGTATTACTGTGTGTATCATTGTGTGTTACTGTGTGTATCATTGTGTATATTACTGTGTATATCATTGTGTGTATTACTGTGTGTATCATTGTGTATATTACTGTGTGTATCATTGTGTATATTACTGTGTATATTACAGTGTGTATTACTGTGTGTATCATTGTGTATATTACTGTGTGTATCATTGTGTGTATTACTGTGTGTATCATTGTGTATATTACTGTGTGTATCATTGTGTATATTACTGTGTGTATCATTGTGTATATTACTGTGTGTATCATTGTGTATATTACTGTGTGTATCATTGTGTATATTACTGTATGTATCATTGTGTATATTACTGTGTGTATCATTGTGTATATTACTGTGTATATTTCTGTGTATATTACTGTGTGTATCATTGTGTATATTACTGTGTGTATCATTGTGTATATTACTGTGTGTATCATTGTGTATATTACTGTGTGTATCATTGTGTATATTACTGTGTGTATCATTGTGTATATTCCTGTGTGTATCATTGTGTATATTACTGTGTGTATCATTGTGTATATTACTGTGTGTATCATTGTGTATATTACTGTGTGTATCATTGTGTATATTACTGTGTGTATCATTGTGTATATTACTGTGTGTATCGTTGTGTGTGTTACTGTGTGTATCATTGTGTATATTACTGTGTGTATCATTGTGTATATTACTGTGTGTATCATTGTGTATATTACTGT